AAAAAAAAAAAAAAAAATGCTTATTGAGTTACAGTGTTTTTCTATTGCTCAAAAGTAGGTCTCGGCTTTTTAAGAATTGTAATTCTTGGGTCTTTGATGCATCCTGTGTAGAAAGCAAAAGGAAATTGAACAACATGTAGCTAGGACAGTGGTTCTGCCCACCTCCAGAGGAGGCAAAGTAGAACAGTGTTCTTAGTTCTTCTAGCAAGACATTCTTTGAGTCTGAGACACAGCTTGTTCCAAAATGGAACCAACACTCTCTCACTTCCTTTGAGAACTATTCTAGAAGTGGAGTGTTCTAGATGCAATTTGGGATCCAGCTTGGACCTCTTCACCTGTCAGTTACCCATGGATATGAAACTTAATTGGCTTCAAGTTCCTAGTTAGCCAGGAAACTATTTTCCAAAAGTGACATGGAGATGGAGAGTCAGTTAAAAAAATGTGAGGTATCTAAGACACCCCCCGCAAAGGCCAGGAATTAAGGTAACACATGCTAAGGAAAATATCAAAGATTAGAAATCATTCCCGGACATAATAGTAGTGATGACTGTGAAATAAAAAACAGTGGCCAAAGAGACCCAGGAGCAGAGGAGAACAGCTACATCCAACAAAATTTGACACTAGCTAGAGAGTCCCAGAAATAATGAAAGAAGCCTCCCGGAACCACTGTGTTGCCCACACTATGCTTACTTCTCCTCACCTCCATGGTAGTCATTACACTGTCACATTCATGGCTCACATTAACAGAAACAGAAGATTGCTATCAATATGTCAGTCCTTTCACTTCAGTGTTTATTATCTATTTGCAGATAAGCATTCTACTCAAATTATACACTAACGTGGGACTTTTTATTAACTATAGGTACTGGAGTCCATATTCACACAAATAGAGAAGACTAATATTGCAGACCTTGTGTCATCCCTGATCATCCTGGTGATCGTAACTGTGTTTAAAGAAATAAATCAGCGCTTCAAAAGCAAACTTCCTGTGCCCATCCCAATTGAATTCATCATGGTGATTGATCATTTTAAGACTTTCTTTGATAGTTACTCCAGGGTTTGTATGTTGGATATTCTTCACCACCTGTAAACCAGGAGGGTTGGAGGGGGCAGAGGCCATCTCTTCCATTTCCGGGCATAAGATTTTGTATGATTTTCTTTTCTTTCTTTCTTTCTTTTTTTTTTTTTTGGCTGGGGTCAGTTTTGAACCTGCCACCTCCGGTATATGGGGTGGGCGCTCTACTCCTTTGAGCCACAGGTACCGCCCCTGTACAATTTTCTTTTCATTCAGCATTTAATAACTTCCCCTGTGGTTTTATTCTTTTCATGTAAGACAAGGAGGGTGCAGAGAACAAAACATTTAGCAAGATGTGGTCATACTCATTTGAGTTACAGCTGTGTTTCCTAACCCTGGCAGCATGTTATAATTGCCTCGGAACTTCTGAAAAAGTTAACAAACTCTTAGCTCAGCTGGAAATTCTTAGTGTGGTGGCTCAGGCCTGTAATCCTAGCACTCTGGGAGGCCAAGGTGGGAGAATTGCCTGAGCTCACAGGTTCGAGACCAGCCTAAGCCAGAGCGAGAC